GAGGGAGGGAGGGAGGGAGGGAGGGAGGGAGGGAGGGAGACACAGCCTGGAGTGGATCAAGCTTTGCAAAAGACAGGTATTATTTGTGGTTTTGTTTTGAAGTCTACTTTCAACTTGTAAGAATGGATCTGGGGTCTCAAGTAAATGACCACGCAATCCAAAGTACTTTGGCAAGACAAAAAGTGTTTGCTGCAGAAGGCTGCACAGACAAATCAAGCAGGCAAGCACACCCTGGGGTTTTTTATTCCTAATGCAAATGGGTCCTGTGCCTCACTCTGAGTGGTCAGAGCTTGGCCTCACCTTCTTACATGATTGGCTGACTTAAAGTGACACCGTTGCTAAGCAGAATACAATTTTGAGCAGCAAGGGCAACCTTGAACTCACGTTTTGATTTCAAGAAGTGTTGACCCTGGAGAATTTCATACACATACACACACACACACACACACACACACACACACACACACACACACACACTTGAATTTTATATGAAGTCTTGTCTTAGTTAATCCTTCCATAAAAAACTCACACTATAACCTGTTGGGGACACAGGTTCATACCATTCAGCCAAGCAAGCTGGTGAATATGTGCCAGGCAAGGGTCCTTGGGACACAGGTGTGTGTGTGTGTGTGTGTGCTGCTCACATCCTTCTGCCCTTTTTTATAGTTCCTTAATTTCAGTAGTTCCTTAATTTCTCTGAATCCGACAGATTGAAGCCATAGCTGTCAGTGTCCCATAAGCCTTTTCCAGAATGTGATCCACAGGTAAGTGGCTTAGAAATGCTGGCTTCTTCACAATAGTGAATAGAAGATTCAATTTGGCCACTGATTCAGTTGTGAGCTTCTGTTAACAGCTCTAATTTCTGTCTATACACCTGCCTTGACCTGTTTCCTTTTCCTTATTTGGGAGGGATATGGAATATGGCCACCAATTTGGCAACTGTGTGTGTGTGTGTACTTATACATGTACATGCACATGTGTGTAGAGGCCAGAGATCTATGTTGGGTATGCTTCTCATTACTCCATCTTCTTTTCTGAGACAGGGTCTCTCACTGAACCTGGAGCTCACCAATTCAGCAAACCCAGGGATCCTCCCAGCACTAGATTCACAGGCACATGCCATCATGCCCAGCTTCTTACAGGGGTCCTGGGGACTTGAACTCATATCCTCATGCTTGCATTGCAAGCACTCTACAACAGAATCATCTCCCCAGCCCTTGGGGGAGCCTTTACACTTGCTTTCCTCAACTCAAGGAAGAAATCTGAGGGTCTCTGTGTGTGAGAAGCCCCCTCATACTGCAC